ATTTATGTCCTGGACGAAGTGTACTTGACTACCACTCATTGTTCTCTTTAGGATCTGGCATTGATGGACATGAAGCTCTCTAGAAGTTTGATGTCATCGCAAATGCGATTTGTGGTAGCCTAAGGTCGGCTCTTTTGCTTCCATAGGTGAACAATAGTCGTTCGGTTGAAGTGCAAAATTTTAGGTACAAAAAACTTCTGATAGAAACCCGGGTTTAAACAAAAGGGGTGAATGTTTTTCAAACAAGAGGACTCCAACTTTCTATATCTTGATTATTCTGAAAACGGAAGCAACATTGTTCATTGTATTTAATTTTCCTGGTACAGATAGAATTCCCAATGTATAGCTCTTTCTTTTAACATCTCATCCCTTTTAACACTTTTCAGATGATACTTCTTTACTGAAAGTGGTGTAATAAAAATGGCTTGTCACTTCTACGGCGGTTTGGTCTGACTCATTGTCCGTGCTTCCAACAAGGTCGTGACGCTTGTGTAAGTAGCACGTAATACAGACGGGATTGAGTCAATTATCACAATTTTTCGCAATGGTCACAGATGTTGCTTTATGCAATAGGCCAGCGGCAAACACTTTGTGACAATTATTGAAACTAAGTATCAATTGTACTCAGTACTATATCGTCGTTGAAATATCGTTCTTGGAGTAGTCCCTAACTTTTGATCTTCACTTTCCACGAGAAACAAACGATATGATTCGCGCTTGAGAGGACTCTTCATCTTAAGTTTAACGATATTTTTTACGTAAGGAACTTGACATTCGATACTAAGATTTTTAACACGAGTATTCGACTGCGTTTGAAAGCGAACGTGTCTTTCAACACGTCTTATATGAGTTTCAAGTATTGTCGTATGTCCTTTGTTCTGTTCTGGAGAATAGGATTCAGGGTTGTCTGCTCTGATACTCCCTGGCAATTTCCCAGGTGTTGACAATGCGTGTAATCGTATTGCATGACATTTACACGAAAATCGATATTCTTTTGCAAAATTGAAAATGTAATTGTTTAATTTCAAAAATATACTCCTTATGTTTGGAAGCGGTTTCCATTCATGCTATTTGTGAGATGTATTACTCCCCTTACCCCTCCGTAATAATCGAATTTCAGGCAACTGAATTGAAACATATTTTTATTTTTTTAGTGCTAAGTTGTAAACTTTCAAAAACATCAATTTTGAAGTCACATATCTTACTCAGTTATACTTTTGTTCTTGATAACTTTTTATTAATTAGACTTTAGTAATTATTAGAAATTAGACATAGGACACAGATGCAGGTATTTAAATTTACAATAATATCTGCTTGCGAACTAAATCGCTTTAAGATATGTCATAGACCTTTATAAATTGAAAATAAAATATTTTAGAACATTTTCTACAGAACGTGGTAACGTTTAATGGTGCCAGTTGGTAGTTAGTTTAGAGTATATTAAGTGCCTCACTTGCCAGTCCAAGGAAAATAGTGTGCGCTACGAATACTTTCTACCGCTGGTTTCTCCCTATCTCCCTACTGGTTTCATGCTTCCTCCCAGGTTACTTTCCGCTTGCAAATTGTTGTTTGCCCTGCCCGGCTGCCTTCGGAAAAATATTGATTTTGCCGACGAAGTGGAAAACTCTAATGAGTTTTAGGAATATTCGAATAGCCTATGAATCGCGTTGTTTTGTGTAATGAACTTATACTTAATTTTCATTGGAGTATGGTTTATTCGTATTTCCGGAATAGAAACATACGTTTTTAAAATACTCTTAAGGTAGTTTTGATGGGAGGATATTTCCAAGAATTGGTTTCTGTCAAATGCACACACAGTGAACAAAAACAATAACATTTTATAATACAAGTACACAAGAGCATATAATTGCGAGATTCTCGATCATAATTTGTTACAAATTGAAAAGAGAAGAGAACCAAAAATAAAAAATAAAATAATATTGACGCACTACCACCTATGCGACTGGCGTGCTTGTCGTCGTAATCATTGTATACACTTCGCCTCTTTTGCTTGCTTAGCAGTTACCATTTGCGCCCACCTTCTCGACATATTTAGAGGCTGCTTGAGCGCTCAGCTGTCATTCACGCTACAGGTTCACAAGTCATATATTTTCTTAGAAATGTAGGCTCTGAAACCCTTCTTGAATTACAAAGTAGGTAATACGAGCTGATTGTTCACGTGATGAGTGAAATATAAGAGATTCATGTTGCATTGAGCTTGTATTAAATTACGAGAAATCTTATTACCAATTACAAGTAAGTATATTGTTTCCAATTTAGTTTCTCTTTTTAATAGAAAATATATTAACACATTGTAGAAGTAAGTATGGAGAAATCACAGAATCTGGAGAAATATCTCCAAACGGTGTAATATATTGCAGTAATGAAATCTGAAACAACATCAAGAAGAAATTAATTTATTTTCACATTATCAGATATAATGAACCAACAACAATGTTAGTGAACAGAATTTCTGTGAACAATATCCTGATATCAATACATTACTTATTTGTCTCAAAAATGTAATCGGAATATCGCTAATTTTACGTGACTAAATTGGTTAATGTCTGTGTTTAATAATTAACTTTTTGAAACAATCATTTACAGATGGTTATATAGTAAGAAAATTGAAGAATAAACTGTCTGTAAATAATTAGTTTCAAAAGTTAATTTTTAAATAAAAATTTTAAAATAGACAATTTTCAAATGGCTAAAGCCTCGGAAATTTACATCCAAAATTCTCTTAGTTTGTACAAAATTAAAGATTGAAATCTCTATTTTAATACTTGTGTTACAAACATTTCAATCATTGCACTGTAATCCGATAACATTTGAATCGGGTGGAGTCGGTGCCGCCACTGCTAATGACTCACATTTCAGCAGTGCTGCTGTTTGGTTTCTTAATTCCCTGTTAGGTCACGTTGAACATGTTTGTGGCAATACGAAAGAGTTTTTGGATGTTACTGTATTTCAGAGAATACTTCATGGCTTTTGGAAACTCGGGAGCTATTTCTTTCTCTTGCGGTGCGACCAAAGGTGCTCGCCTCCGTCGGCCTGCCTGTGAGCCTCCGCCTTGTCAGGTCTCGCGCCGGTAAAAAGAATCTAAGCACACTCATTAATCCATTTTGAATACTCACTCTCTACATTTTTCAACTTTCTTCTGCATTTTAAACTATCAAATTATGACATTTATTTAGAAAATGAAAGTAAATCATTTATATACATTATTATTTACTTATATAATATGAGAATATAAGTAAATAATTTACAACATTGAACGTCGTTTTTAAATTAAATAGTTATTACCAGAAACAAATTAAATTAAAAATTAATTTCTTTGTTTGTTTCTTTCTTTGTTATACATTTGTTTATGGTAATATATCTATTGCATTTCTGTAAATTTTCATTTATTTCATATTTTACGGCTAGTTTTTAAAAAATTTTTGTATGTTCACAAAACCATGGATTGTAAATTTAAAAAAAAATTATTAAACAAATCAAGCCACACAAAAAAATACTACGTAAAAGTGGATAGATATAAATTATAAACCCAGTATTGCTAACCATCACAACTGGTTATCGATTTTTAGTAATTCCAAGAAACTACGATGTACATTATTATTATTATTATTATTATTATTATTATTATTTATTTCTAGTTAAGATTTTCTTCACATTATGACGATCATTATTTTTTTAAAAAATTCAAAAATGCAAGTGAATTGTATATTTTCTATACGATATGTATATTATAACTCACTTTTCGAAATCAACAAAATTATCCTTAATGTGTAAATAAAGACGCTGTGTAAATAACAAATTATCCATTTGTACATTCACGTATACGGAGAAATACACGTAGTATAGGGAAAGATATGAAATGCTGGGGAAAATCGATTTTGAGAGTTCAACGGAAATACACGTTTTGGAGTCTCCTGATACCGAAAAAGTGTTGTTTTTTTCAAAATGTCTGTTCGTCCGTCCGTCTCTCCGCCGTCCGTCCGTCCGTCCGTGAACCCCACTAGCGTCTAAAACACGTAGGATTTATTTTTTCAAATTGAAGAAACCCTTGTCTATGTGGCTCGAGTCGAAGCTTTGAGATTTTGAAATGCTTTCTTTAAAATTTGAGGGTTCTTTACATGAAGCCCCTGGAGTATTTTCAAAATTTTCTGAAAAATAGCCCCAATTTTTTCTTTAAATTTCTTGTAAGAATAGAGTAAAATACAATTATAAAGGTGGCATAGGATCGATACTCAGGTTTCACTGAATTTCAGAAAATTTCAAAATGTGTTCTATCATTAAGGTCATGTACATTTTTTTGACAATTTTAGTAGTTTTCGCTCAATATTGCGAGCAATGTGTGCAATTTTAAAACATTACAAAACAAGATTTTCTCAAAAACGTCTTCAAATTTGTTCTTTAAACTTTCTGTAGGATTAGCGCTATATGTACTCTATAAGACGACATATACGCCATATTGCTCTATTCTTTTGATTTTTTCACAAATTACAAAAATTTAATATTTTTACTTATTTGTCATGTTGTTAATATTTATGGTACGGCAATTTGTTCACATTATTATATTTATGAGTGCATGTGCTTTACAAAATGTCATAAAAAGTGTCTCGAAAACTCAACCATTTTCAGTGAATACTAGCTTGAAACTCCGCATTTTCGCAAACGCTCAAACGCCATTTTCGCGTAAATTGCTCCAAAATTTTTCTTCAAACTTTTCCAACGGATAGTGCTAGTTGCACCATTTGATATGACTTAAAGTTAATTTCAAGGTATGTTTTTATTTTTTCAAAAGTTACACAAATGTAATTTCTTTGAATGATCTATCACGCCGTTATTATGTACATTTCCAGCAATTTGTAAACACTATTGTATTTGTGAGTTAATGTGCTTCAAATGACGTGCTGACAAATATTTTCTGTAAAAAAAAGAGCTTAAAATTTCGAATTTACTGTCGCGCTTAAACACCTTTTTTTTTAATGGCTCCCAATTTTTCAATGAAAATTGCCATTTAGGGCAAGGTGTTACTGTTCTTCAAAATTTTTAAAATAATATTTCCGTTTTACTATTAGGAAGCCGAAAATTTAAGTAGTTTACAAAAAAATGTACGTGGTCAGCCATGTCTTTACAGAGCAGCTAGCAATCTGGCAAGAAAATAGCTAGCCGACTCTAAAAGAAAAAGAAAACGAACACGGGAAAGTCTTTGCTATTTGTCGCATCACTAGTTAGTGTCTGTTATTTCGCGTAGCTAACTATTTTATTAAGAACCGTAGCTCACGTCCATCCCAGGGCGTGAGCTGTCTCGGGGAGAGATATCCTGGCCGCGTCGTCCTTGGCGCGCAGGAAAACGCGTTCGGAGGGGGCGTGCGCCAGGGCACGCTCAGCACGCGCGCCGCATTCCCCCCTGACATTGGACCATCACACTCCGGCGTCGTGGCCTTCTGGAACAGGGATACGACCTGGGCATGCACACAACCCCAATCATTGCGTGGAATACTGTCTTCAGTTTGGCCTGGGCCCCTCTCTTTTTGGAACCTGATACTGAAGTATGTCGAATTGTCTTAAGAATTGCAAGGGATACAAATTAATTTATGATTCATTATCTTAATGATGTGTCTGTTAATTCCTTAAAGTGAAAGTGTAAATATTGTGGTAAATTATACACCTTTAAACGATTTGTAAAATGTCAGACTGCTGTAAAATATCAGAAGAATAATTTTGTTAAAATATGTTAATGCGAAATATCGTCAACTTTCTTTACAAGTACAAACATTTCACTGACAAGTGCATAATTTAACTTCACAATCATACTTTCACTTTTACAAAATAATTGCATACCTACTGATATCCACTTGTAGTTGAACTTATTTGAAATTACTCGCTCCAACAAGTGAGAAGACACATGGCTGAGCTTTGTATTATCAGCACATTTTGCAGTAAAAAATAATACACCATCATCTTGTAAGCCAAATACGAATGATCATAATTCAGGTTTATTTTGTGGACGCGAACACTCCAGAGAGAGAAAAAATAGTAATCTGTCCGTTGCAGGTGTAAATTAGTTGAGCTAAAACAACACGTAATTTCTCTCACTTCTTAACGGTTACATAATATTACAATACCACAATTTCTCTCCATATTAACCCATCTCAGTCTACAGTTGTAAAACTCATTACAAATGGCAGAACATTATGTGCGAAAAGTCATTTTTAAAGCTAATATATCAACACAAATTCGACCATTAAAACTGCGTTTCTTACAGTAACATCTCCCAACAATGAGAAGGAATTTCCAGAAGTTTGTACTGACATGTCGCGGTGGGCATGCCTTTGTCAATTTCAATTACTTAATCTCGTTAATATATTCTGTAAGACTAGCAAATGGGCGCAAATAAAAATAAAAGTTTTATTTCATTCAAGCTCTAATTTTATTACAGTGCAACAAATTATTAAAAATGTGTAGTGAGAACGTTGAAACAAAATTGTTAAAATAATTTCGAATACGGACATTAATATCAAGTAATCAAAATACTTATTACTGTGACTTTGTCATCCTAATAAAAAATAATCCTGATGATTTATTGCAACAGGGTAGTGTTCATAGGACTTTATTACTTGCACCAGGATCTTACAGCCTTGTGGTATACAGCCTTGTGGTATCTCGTATGCAAATGCTACAATCTCGTAATTTGGGAGTTATTCGACGTATTTATATTTGTCTTGCTGAAGAACCCTGTTGTGCCGCGTATTTATTATACACAATCATCGATTAAATAGGAAAGCGAATAAATTCTATGTGTTCTGTATCTCTGTTCCTCCCCGACCTGCCCTGCTTACCCCCACCCCCACCCCCACCACCTCTGATTTGATACTCGTACTGCTCTATCCTGCCCGCACTCTCCATCCTGTCTCTCCTCTCCCTGCCCCGCCCGCTCGCCTTCTCTCAACTGACCTGTCCTGCTCCGCCCCTGCCCGTCCTTAATTGCTACGATTATCGTGGCTCCCACCATGGCTGGTCACAGGTTGTGCGAACAGCTGAGAGTATTGCATACTCTCAGCAAACTCCCAGCAACAGTTTTGACTCAAAGCCTAATCGTGATTAGACTTTGAGTCATAACCTTTCCTACTATAAGGATTAAACTCAAAGCATTTTCTACTAAATTAATTTTAATTCCTTTAGAAGGAAATTTTATTGGCTTTTAGATACGCTTAATTTACTTAAGCGGATTTTATCAGTGCTTTCGAGTACTCAAAAAGCTGAAAGAGGCACACTTAAATTTTTCTTTAAGGGACAGGAAAGGAAGGTGGGGTCACGAAACGGGGTATTTAACGATGTAAGTTACGATGGGGTATTTGTTTATTTATTTAGAAAAAAAGGGTAAAAACTGTATTTGACGTATGTGGGAGAAGATCATGTAGATAGTATCTTTTCTATTGCTTTGTGTACAAAATTTCATTAAGATAAGTTAAAACTATATTTGCCCGCAAAAACACTGCTCTTTATATAATAGAAAATAATTATCTGAACAAAAAGTAGATTGAACTTATTGAAATAAGCGTTTTCACGTGCCCTGATGCAATTTTTCTCTCCCAAAATAGTTGTCTTTGTTTTCAGAATAATATTCGACAATAATAAATAAACTATTCATTGAAAAACATGTCGTCGTGTACGTGTAGCTTCCTTGTAGGTGCTGAAAGTGTGGCAGAGGAACTGCGTGGATTGAAAGTACTGCGGCGTGATGAAGTCTTGAGAGTGAGAGAAGGGGAGGTTTTTGGCTCAGGCTCCAAGTTCATTGGGACGTGCAAATTTAGAACGACTATTCAACCTAGAAGTAACTATGAGTAAAAAAAGACAATGCCATTTGATGATTGGATGTATGTATGGTTTGAAGAATGAATGAATTTCGACTCTAATAAATGAAAATATAAATTTATGAAGGTTTACTTTTATAACTGAAATCGTTTTTTTCTAATACAACAACTCAACTCTTCAAGGCTGTGGCCGTGTCTGTGATGCTTCATTCATATGTTACCTTATTAACTGTAGAAAAAGTTTATTCTGAATTTCAATAATCATCAAATAAACACTAAGTCACGTGTGTATCCTACGTATCTGGTGTATCTTAATAATAATAATAATAATAATAATAATAATAATAATAATAATAATAATAATAATAATAATAGACGCTGCGAATTTAGTTTGAACAAAATCTTCGATGTAGTATGAAATGCACTCTGTAATTAATTTTATATCGGTTTTATATGCTCTGTCGTGTTTCTGCTACAATCGAGTTATATTCAACAGAACAGTAAATCCTTTATTGTTTAAAACTCTGCTTGTATTGCTAAAAATCAAGCCCAACAAAACAATTTCTGTAGAGTTAGAGAACACACGAACGGACAGACAGAATTTTCCCATGAATCGATTTTTCAGCATCACGGACCTAGAAAACGTGGATGCTGAGTACAAGTATTAGAGGAAGTAATTTACTATACAAAGGAAGTGGATTATCCACATTTGCATTACTTTAGCCCGACAATGGAAATTCTTTCATCAAACTCGGCCAATTTCTTCTGTAGCATTACAACACCTCTATGCTACGTAAGTAGTATGCGATAAAATAAAATAGGCAATGAAAAAAATTATAAAAGGCAATAACGAACTTTAGAACATTAATAGGCTAAAGAGATATTCTGTAGATAGGTTAATTTGAAGACGTGTTAAGTACAAATTGTTGCAAATAGTTGCAAAAAATTAACTTGTAATTACTTTGTTTAAGTTGTTATAAACACTTAGCCACAAAAACCAATTACGAGTTGCGGCCTCCGAGAAGTAAACGCCTCAAAGATAATATCCTTGTCGCGACTTGTAAGGAGAGGAAATGGGAGAGAAAATGTATTTTTTTGCGTTTATGTAAATTACACGAAGGTAATTATATAATGACCATTTTGTTTACTTTTTCGCTACCGCGTACACAGTAGAGAGAAAATTATGTAATGCTGCGGGGAAAAGGGGCGAATTTTAGTTAGACAAACTTATTGCCGGGCCCTGGTCACGAAAAAGTGTTTAAATCCAGTTGCTCCTTGATATCGAAACATTGATTGTCGGCAAAATGTCTGTCCGTCCGTGAACAACACTTTGCGGTTAAAACAATCAGACCATTTTCTCCAAAATTGATACTCCCTCACCGATTTAGATGATGTTGCGGCCCCTTGAATTTGAAACCCATATTTTAATTTTGAGGGTACTTTACACGAAGCCCCTGCAACATATGAAAAATTTTCAAAGTAATTCCTCCAATGTTTTGATTAAATTTTGTTGTTGGATTTGATGCTACATAACATGAAATGTGAGACAAGCTAATGGTGCTACAGAATTGCACAGACTTACCCCTATTATATTTCTATTTTCTTTTGTTCCAGTTAGCTATTCGAACTTGCCACATATTCTTGTCTGTTTCACAGAAAATGTTTGAGCTTTTGAAGAACTTAATTTGAAGTACTTCAAATCACAAATACAAGAGTGTTTACAAATCTCTGGAAATGTGCATATCAACGGCGTGAGAGATCTTTCAAAAAATTTATATTTGTGTACATTTGAAAAAAATACACAGAAATTAATTTTACGTCGTATTAAAGTGCGCAAATACCACTATTCGTTCGAAATGTTTGAAGCAACAATTTGGTACAATTTTTGAGAAAGTACGTTAGAGTTAGGTTTCTGAAATTGAGCTAGTTTTAACAGAAAATGGTAGAGTTTTCAAGAAAATTTATATATTATTTAAAGCACATGTACTCATCATTATAATAATATGAACAAATTGTCGCTAACGTGAATATTAAAGACATGAGAGGCAAGCCAAAAAAATTCCATTTTTGTAATTTTTTAAGAAACAAAAGAATAGAGCGATAAGGCGTTTATGTCGCCTCATAAAGTATATATAGCACTATCCCTATCAAAAGTTTAAAGAAACAATTTGAAGTAATTTTTGAGAAAATTTGGTTTTTGTAATTTTTTAAAAAATTGCGCATATTGCACGCAATATTAGGCGAACACTACTAAAATGTTCAAAAAATTTACATCACGTTAATGAAAGAACTCACTATGAAGAACAATTTTTATTTGAAGGAAAAATCTCTACTTTCAATTTTGTAGTTTTAGGAACCCACTGTAAAAAATTCATACTTTTTAAATTTTGGAAATTTTAGAGTTAAACCTGAAAATGGGACCTATGCCACCTTCATAAGTTCATTTTACTCTATTCTTACAAGAAATTTAAAGAAAAAAAATTGGAGCGTTTTTGAGAAAAATTTGAAAATGGCTTCATGTTAAGTACCCCCACATTTTAAAGGATTTTTTTCAAAATCGCAAAGATTTCACTTGAGCCAGATCGACACGGGTTTCTTCAATTTGGAAAAAAATCTTCTCATTGTTAGTACTATTGTTACTCTAAATGTTCTACTAATGTACTCATTGTTAGTATAGTTGGCGCTAGTACTGTTCACAGACATCAGACGGACGGACAGACTGACGTTTTGAAAAAAAAAATAAAAAAAACACTTTTTATGCAACTTAACCAAAATACTTTGTTAGATGACACAATTTGATGTGGGGAACCTGGAAGCGCTACTTGAATTTACATTTAACTTTCAACACTCAATATTAAAGGAAAACAATATGTTTCTACCTAAGAGCTGAGCCCTAGTTATTATTATTATTATTATTATTATTATTATTATTATTATTATTATTATTATTATTATTATTATTTTTATTATTGTTATTATTATTATTTTGTTCGATGATTAATTCTGTTAATCTGAGTTTTAGATGTAATGATAAAGTTAAAATACCAGTAGTAAATATTAACAATGATGAATATCTTAATTTTAGAATCATAGTCTGTTCACTATTGTCAGAGCGTAGAATAATCCTGGACTTTCATTTAATAGATTTAAATCAAATCTATCTAGGAAGTCTTTCGAGATAAAACTTCATGGCTTGAGCGGACAGTCATGTTTATGTGTTATCATGACAAATTTTTAGACACATATAATGAAACAAGTATTATAAATGGGGTTCCTTTATGGCGTTAAGTCATGAAATGCAAATTCATAACAATTTCAAATGTCCATATCAAAAAACGTAAAATAGGTTTTTGTCTACAAGTTCGAAATGTACCTACGACTGACCAGCACAACTTAATTGCTTCTCACTTTATATCACTGCTACTCTTTGAAAGCAACACGATGCAGGGCGGCATTTCTGGGGTGGAGTCCTGCGACGGAAACTCGCCTTGTGCCTGGCTCCGCCTCGCTCATCTCCTCCCTGGCGAGAACTTGCGTTTGATTCGGTGCAGGGGGCGTGCCGAAGAGGTCTAGTGCATCGGGCCTGCTCGGCTCGCGGCCTATCTGGATTGTTTGCTCGGGCACCGGGTCGCTACACTTATCAGAGGCCGGCGTGTGGGAGGACGCGGCGTTGCTGTGCCCCGCAAATTCAGCTTTTCAAAACTCTTAATACGATAGTGTAGTGGTCGTAGACGTGCACAGCTCAATACTAGAAGGGGAGCAGCTACTTTTCTAGTCTCCCTTTTCCATTGACCTTTTTTATTTACATATTAAATATTTTACTAGAAAAAGGATAAAATAAAAATAAAATTAATATGATACAATTAATGACGACGATAGATGTTATGTAAAAGCACTTATACGATTGCCGGATGATTTGGAACTTGGTCCCCAAATATCGTGAGGCCATTTCCCAAAGTTTAAAAAGGAGAAACTAGGGAGTGAACATATTTAAGAAAATAAAATTGCTTATTGGACCTCTTTCAAATTTTTAGGGGCTCCACTGCCCCCTCCCCGTTTATGCGCACGCCTGCGATAATGGTTAAATAGTACAATCAACAGTTTTTAGAGAAAGCATATTAACACTTTTTTAAATTTTCATAAACGGTTTAACAGTTTTTTTTCTTTCTAGGTTTACGTGATGATGACGTCAATTACCACTTGTATTGTTCAAAGAATAGCGTACTCGCTAAAGATTTATCCTGAATAAAAAAGAATTACTTATGTCTCGATCAGTTGAGTCTTGAATGCTCTTTGTGATATTTGTGAATGATATTTGTTTACTTGTGTAGCTATGGCACTAATCTCTCCTTGTGCGATGACTGTGAAACCCAATAAGAATTCTTTATTAATTATGCTCTTCCGTAACATAGTAATCAGATTTCTGGCATCTGGAACCATAAGAGGGATTCTCACAAAGAAATTACATTGTTTGGAAAATATAATACATTGGAGAAAGTGAAACGAAGGTCTCTTTAATCCTAGAATTTTTTGTCCCTGGCGTTCCCCTTGGGACAGACTAAGGTGAAATGATAACGGGATTAATTTACAATTTAATTCACGCTTTGCGACACCTTGAAATTCTTGTTCCATGACCCCTATGCCCCCCCCCCGGAGACCACATTGTGGCTACCCTTTACGGAAAAAGCATTCACATTTCCCTAAATGTTGCTAAAGGTTTAGCAGTACTTTCGCTTTTCCAAGGTTTTCGTGACAACTCAAGTGTCCCTGATTTATATTTGCGTGTTGCTTTCTGAATCTAAACCTATACATGTTTTTCATTTAACTGATGTCCTCAACAAGGGCAGGCGATCGTAGGGATTTCGGCGAATTTGTATTCTTGCTGATAATAAATTTATTTAATCTGAGAAATGGTATCGGATTTGCTAAGTTCCCAAAAATATGTAATAAACCCAAATAAAGCTTTCTGGCGGAAAAATGAAGTAACGTACATTATTGTAGCCGCCTTGTATGAAAAAGGGTCAAATAAGAGAGCGTGAGTGTGGAAGTATTCCCTCTTGCACAGTTTATCTCGATTTTAATTACGTATCGACCTCATGGTTTAACCTTGCCCATCTGCTACATTAGCAGATGACCATGGTAGAACTAGCGAAATATGAAAGGTAATTGGATGAAGTATATTAATATAATATTAATATTTGGCCAGGTATTGGGACTCTGTTGGATGTATTTTCATTCGTGGAATAGTCCTATTAAATACAACGTGTGCTTTGGAAATTCTCAGATAAATTCCAACGCACTCTTAACATTACCTATGACAATGCGACACAATTCATCTGCAGTCACCGACGATCACCCAGAATGATGTCATCGACTTGCTGAATGTTGCTGGCTGGACTGCAGTTACCGTCCTACCGCCCCGCTTTTCGCCAGCCCTTCAGCTTCGTTACAGCAACGAACGCATCGTCTAGCAGTCATCTAATGTTGCTAATGTTGCTACATGTTGACGCAGGAAATTACACCTGCAGTGGATTATAGAATAAGGTTTGAGGAATATTGTCAAATTCAATAATTGAATTACTTAACTAATTTTATTTAAGTCGAAAAAATTGGAGGCATTACTAGTTGACTTACCCACTTATTATTGTGGGTTTCATGTGTAGAAGCATTTCAAATACTTACAGAGCAAAGTGATGAATTTATTTTTTTATATGACCAATAAACTAGTGTAAATCCTCACCAATTGAAGTGTTGGAATTTATATATCAAAATTAACTAATCAGGCCATTTCCTAATATTACATTAGAAATTTCATTAACTTGCCAGTTTCAGTTCACCGGAGAAAGATCAATTTCAAAATTAAAATTTATTAAAAACTCCCTACGTCAAGAGAAAGATTAATAGATCTAGCAATGATATCAGTTGAAAGTGAAACTTGCAACTATATTGATTTAGAGAGAATCATACAAAAATTTTCAAGTTTGAAAGTTCAAAACCTGCCTTTGTAAAATTTTATACTATTGATTTTTTGTATACTTATACTAACTGAATATTATTACATATTTTAAATTGTATTTTACATTGCGTTATTAAAACGTAGATAATATTTAATAAATAAATCAGTAATAACACTTTCATAAATACTGTTTTAAACAATTTTTTTTTACTAATAAAATAATGAAATTTCTTTCGAAAGCCACAAAATGTACTTACACCAGGGCGGCAAACTAGTGCGCGACGGCTCTGGTTGTATGTCTCCTGGAGCAAAATTGAAGGATCTACCAGTGACGTAATGTAATGTTCGGTCCCGCAGTGCGGGCGAGCATGCAATAATCTGTTAATCACATTAATTTCTCATATAGTAATCAGAGACTAATGAATATGAATTTGTTAAAGGATATTTTTTTATTATTTGATGTACTAACTCTACTTGTGGTTGCTGAATGCTATTATAAAGAGGGCCCGTAAAAGAGTTCTGCGGGTGGGCCCGCACTCACTTCGTTGGGCTACTGGGATCTACATTTTAATATTGTCGTCATTTTCAGTGTAGTAATAAATTCCAACATTTAACGCTTTACAGCCACTGCGTTGACGGAATATAAACCCTATTTTGAATATTATTAAATCTGACAGCTTAGAATTCGCGTTAAAAATCCTCTGCGATGTTCTGAAGGAACGTTTTTTGAATTTCAGCGTTTTATAACAGGTTTGTTTTCTCATATGTAGTGTTCAGAATTCATCTTTAAAAAAGAAATAACTTTTGTTGTATTGTGTTACACATGGAGCTACGAATACATAGCTCCATGGTGTAACATGAGAGAGAAAAAAAAGGGTTATGGGGAAGGAAATTCTCCTTCAGTAGATCTTTGTTATATTAACTTAAGGATAACAATACATGGGAAAAAAATGTGTGACTTGTCGTTTTGTCCAAGACAAAACTGTCATGCACTTAATATCAATTCACTTAGATTACTTATCTTTGTCTATATGTGTAACAATTTCGTCATACTATTTGGTCCTTATTCTGAAAGATCTCTATTTAAAATGTCAATTATGTATATATTTCAATAATCTAACATTTTTAATTTTATTTAAATCTGCTACCCAAGAAACTGAATATTTCTGTTGATAAAATAAAGGCCTAATACAATGATGAAACTTAATTTTGCTTGTATGTGCAGCGTTGCCAGCATCATTTCAAGAATTAGTACTAGAACTTTATTTGCTACAGATATTAATTACGGATATTCAATAAAGGTGCTATGGTAGAATCTCTTGTAAAACAAAAATTAATATAATTCATTAAAACATACAAAACGTGGTCACAAATTTCAATGATGACACCATCTCACCAGCAGTTGAAAGGTCTTCAGTCATTTTGGAAAACAAATTCATAGATATTATTCAGTTTAAAAAACTAAAAATAATTTTTGAAATAGAAGTCAAACAGCAGATTTCTTAAAAACAAATACTTATTACCTAATGCTCTTGTGAAATTGTTACACATTTCCTCAGAAATTTCTTTACACTTAAGCTACACTTCATGTAATGTTTAACAAAATGTCAAAATCCGGAAGAAAGGTAAGGTTAATAAATTATCAAAAGATTCATAAGCAGCCACTAAATAATTAAAAATCAAGTTTATTTTATCTTTATCCATATATTACAACATATGACATTCCTCAACAGCAGGCTCTAATATGAAGACGATTACTGTACAAGTTCAAACCAATATCAAATATTTAATTTCTTTGACATTAACTACCAACAAACTTCTACATTCAACAAATATTTCACAATCAAAACTCCCATTATCTAGCCTAAAACTGGCAGCTCGCCATCAAGAAGTTTCTTGTCGAACATATATTCTCCAAGGTCTCCCAGTGATTTTGTCATTTTGCCCAGGGTTGAAATTTGGCCAGCCAATTCCCTTTGTCCTTTATATTGTTCATCCAAGAACTCTCCAGTCAGGTAATCGACAAGCTGAAATTAAACAAACACTTAAGTAAACAATATTCTGCCACATGTTAGTAAACTCATTCTAAGTAATAACTTAAATGCATACATGATAATCATTTTCTCCCACATCAGGATTTTCACACTTCTTAATTATCTCATTGATACTCTTAGTTACATTCACTTCCAAAGCCAAAGCATTCTTCAGAGCGGCAAGACCAGAGTCCCAAGTCAGTCCTCTTACTGGGTACTGAAATAAAATTTTAATACATTAGCCACGTTCTAAATTAGTATTTTTTTTAACACATTTGTCAAAATCCTCCAAACTCACAGGATCACTAATGAGATCTTTGATGTCAGTTTCAAGTTCACCACGCATCAGAAGGTATTCTATAAATTTGATGGCATGTTCGCGCTCTTCATTAGCACTCTCAAAGAACATCTTGGCAAAACCTGGTCGGTTCACTTGATCTTCAGAAAAATGAGCTGCCTAAATAAATAAAAAGAAAAATGGTGCAAATGTGAATTTTAAATTGACACTATGTGAAACTGAACAATAGCATGAGCAAATCTATTTTAAAATTAAATTGGGCACATTACCAATACATTAACAACACTATCAGTAAGCAGGAAAAAGAATTACCATGGCCAAATAAGTAAGTGCTGCATTCAGCTCTTTCTGAACTTGATGTTTCATTAGGGCAATGCATTCATTTTCCATACTCTTGAAAGCAGGAAATTGCACTGCCTGGGCTTTGCCTGCAAAATAATACTATTACAAGAACTGTCCTCCCAAACGGCTTTTGAATAAGCAAACGTAAAGTGTAAAATTACAGTCGCATTCACTGGCTAAATAAAGGTTATGTATTCAAGTACTTACAACTGTACTGAGTAGCAGTTGCGAGGGCCAGGCAGCAGAAAAACACAGCAGAAACCACAACAGTCTTCATGACGAATGCAAAAATTCGCAGTGCTATCAAATCAAAATATGTTACAATCCCAGTTCCTTATATCGTAAGGCCGAATAAACAACTCAACAATCACCACCAAACACAAAAGAAAAGTTCAGGAATGCTTGAGGGAGTGATCGCCTTTACACACACTGATGCAGAAGGCGAACCAACTCAAGCTAAACTGAAATACGCCGAACTCCCTCTAATATAATCGCCACTACTCCAGCTCCATCAGGCTATCGCGTGCAGTGCAACCTATTCTGAGAGGCAAAGAATAAAGCACTGTCATTGTCACTGCTGCGCAGTAGGAGACTGCGCAAATGACGTAGAGTGTTGCGCATGGCCAGTGACGAATCACGAACGTCTGCTCGTTATCGAATGAAGCACTTGTGACCAGAGTAGAAATATTACTTCAGTTGTCGTCGAGTTGAAGCATACATTTGTTGTCGGTGCGTGAGAGAACTTGGTTCTTATTGTTCCGGTGAAACTGGGCAATAGATCAGATCGAAGGTCTATTTATTGGCAAGTAGATTTTAGTCTTTCAGAATTTCACTTCTTGGAATGATAAGTTAGGTTAATAGAACTTTAATTTTTATTTATTGTCAATCTGTAGCTCATCTTCACTCGGGTTCATCATGAAGTGGTTCGCAGTTTTTGTGTGTCTTATTGCCGTGGCTGCTAGTGAGCATTGCTACAAGGATGCTAAAGAAGCATGTCATCCCACCAGCCCAGATGGTAAATACATCCTTAGGAGAGCAGTTTGTAATATTGTGTATGATTTAAGAATAATTGGTGCTTAGATAAAATGCCATGTCTATAAATTCTCGTTTACTGTTTGTAAGTGTAGTGGTGCAACTATAACTAGCATGATCCTTAAATTTTATTTTTTGTACTTTACAGTGACTTTTTCCAACTGTGATGCAAAATTTGGCAAGGCAGCAAACTACATGAACAGATTGAATGATTACTTCAACATGCATATTTCACGTAGTTTGCAGTATTTGATGATGGTAAATAAACAATTCTACTTACTGGTGTTAAATTCCTTATGCAATTGAATTTTGTGGCTAAATTAGTTTTATTTGTAGTCGAGTCACTTTGGAGGATACAAAATGGAACGAGATGGCTTCAAGAAGCTGTATCGTAAATTGTCGGATACTGCATGGGATGATGCTATTGATGTAATCAAATACATGACCCTGAGAGGTGAGAAGATTGACCTGAAACCATACTATGATTCAGAAAAAGAGGACCGATCAACAATTTTCCAGGTAGGAGTTCACATATTGCTGTGCATAATTGGTGGTTACTTTAAAAAGTAAGAGTATCAAATGATTTTCTGATGAATTCTAAAATGATCTTATATTCAGGGAGAGCCACTTGCATTGAATGAAGTTGAGAGTTTGTCTAAAGCTGTTGACATTCAGAAGAAACTTGCTGAAGAAGCCCACAGCATTTACAAGGTTGCTAATGAGCATGATCCTGAGGTTAGTGGTTTTAAGAGTTTTATCACAAATATACTTTGGTAACAGTGGTGTGAAAGTAATTTGATTCTAATGTTTATTTTTCTAATTCTTTTGCCTTCAGATGGGAGCATTTGTAGAAGACACATTCATGCACAAGCATGCAAAGACCATCAGAGAGCTTGTAGGGTACACTACAGAGCTCAAGCGCCTTGTTGAAATTGATCCTGAATCACCACAGAGATCAGTTGGGCTCCAGGTGTTCCTGCTTGATGAGTACTTGAAAAAGAATTTGTAAAATATATGAAATGTTGACTTGTTAGAATTTTGTGCCTTTAAGAGGAAATCGAAGTTGTCAAGGAGTAGAGGATTTTAATTACGTTCAGTTATGTATTTTTCATTTTCATGTACAAATAAAAACTTACATTGAAATGCTGTTTTAAAACTTCTTCCTGATGGTGACTTTTTTTCTCAGCCTTTTACCATTTTTGGAACCAATATTGAGATTAATTATAGTCCTTTGTCTTTGAAGAAAAGTTTGATTGTGAAAATCCTTAAATAAAATGTTGCCCATCATTTCCTAAGACAATACAACAGAAATATTTTAATAACCTTGTATTTGAACTATCTTAAATGCAATTTTGAAAATTGCTTTCATGAGAAACAAGCATTTGAAAATTGATTAGTTGCATAAATGGGCAGGGACAGAGCCCATCCAGGTATTCCCTACAAAAGGGGCAGATTACATCCTTCCCCATTTAACTTTTTCTTTCTTGTAGATAAAAACTTGCAAAGAGATTATAACTATACCATTAATAAATATATTTAATGATATGCTGACTCGTTGTCAGGTGGCTTAGAGAACCTCTTTCCCAAATGTGTAACTATTCCTCATTGTCGGGGAAAAAAGGAGTCTGAAGTGGAATATATGGGACTCTGGTAAAATTTTCAGGGGAGAGAAGGCACTTTTTCTTTTTTTTTTTCCATCAACTTTGTCTACATTCAAGAGATTGTCTCTACATATGTTTGGATTATGAGACTTCTTATTCCTTCAAACATGATATATGCATATGTTGGGTCGCCCAGGGGTTTGAGTAACATAAGTATACAGGACTAATCCGGTCTGCTTGAAAACGGTATGGTAGCCATCAGTGTATTAAAAACAATTTCATCTTTGCCTTTTAAGCATCAATTTCTCATCATTGGCTCAAACAGTGAGTAGTGGATCGTACAATTTTTCTAAGCACCAAACAATTGCGTTAGAACAAGCTTTAGAGAAAACATTCAAGACTAGCAATAGCAACATTCAAGAATAAACTAGTGGCGCTACAGAATGGCACTGACTTTCTCATACTAATTAGTTTTCGAATTTCATTGGTCTGGGCTAGCCTTTTGGACTTACCACATATTCTTGCCAGCTGCACTTTTTTTAAAAATTTTCTTAAATTTCTCGATTTCCTAATATTAGAACCACAACAGTACTTATAGATAAGTGAAACCACGTCATATACGGAAATTTTCGTTGAAACCTTTGGAGCCGCTTTTAAGAAAATGGCGTTTAAGCGTTCTGTAAATGGTAAATTTGAACCTGTCACAAAATCTTTAGTTTTCGAAAAACTTCATTGGAAGTCATTTGAAGCACTTCCACTCACAAATGTAATAATGTATACAAATCGCAAGGAATTATACTGATAATACGCTGCGGCGGTGTAGATGGTGTTTCGTACGTTGACTCCATGGGAATTACATGAGCTTAAAGAACACGAAGCTCATTTCAAATTTTTGGAATACGCAGATCGTGAAACTTTGTCATATTACATCTAACTGGCAATAATATACACATAGAAGAATTCAACAAACAGGCCCAAAAACGAACGCCTTCGCTGGATCATGAATGCCAATTATTGGAGTGTAGGGGTTCATACTTTGGTTGCACGGGTGCTAAGGTGATGCCCACCATATCCCATATTGTTCTGATCACAAAACATTGTTGAGTTGTCTCAAAAAAGGATGCAACTACAGTCGAAATATGATTAATTATGCGACAAAAAAACTTAAACTAACGGTGCTACAAACTGGCACAATCTTTCCCGAATTAGTTTTCTTTGAACTCGGCTAGCTTTTCTGCAGCACAAAGTACATTTAAAAATATCTTCTTTTTTCTATTTCCTAATAGTAAGAAGGGAAATATTATTTTAAGAATATTAAAGAACAGTAAAACCCCATCTTCATGGCAATTTTCTTCGAAAAATATGGAGCTGTATTTAAGAAAATGGTGGGTAAGTAATACTGTAAATTCGAAATTTGAAGCTCTTTTTTACAGAAAAGTTTTGAATTTTCAAAAAAACTTCATAGAAAGTCACTTGAAATAAATTAACTTACAAATACGATAGTGCTTACAAATTGCTAAAATGTGCATTTTAACGGCGTGAGAGATCTTTAAAAAAGTATATTTGTGTTATTCGAAAAAAAACAAAGAAAATAAACTTTACGTCATATTAAAGAGTGCAATTAGCATTATCCGTTCAAAAAGTTTGAAGAAAAATGGGAGGCATTTTTGTGACAAAGACGTTTGAGAGTTTCTGAAAATGCGGAAGTTAGAGCTAGTTTTCACAAAAAATGGTTGAGTTTTCGAGACACGTTATCTAACATGTACCATTAACATGTACCATTAAATATAATAATGTGAACAAATTGCCGCTAATGTAAATATTCACTAGTGAGAGACAAGTAAAAAATTGCATTTTTGTAACTTTTGAAAAAATAAAGAAATAAAGCAATAGGGCGTTAATGTTATTTAATAGAGTGCATATAGCACTACCCCTGCCAAAAGTTGAAAGTAAAAATTTGGATCCGTTTTTGAAAAATTTGGGAGTTCTTGACATAAAACCTTTCGGGCATTTTCAAACTTTTCACAAAAACGGCTTCAAATTTTTTCTTTAAATTTCTCGTTAAAATAGAATAAAATACACCTATTAAAGTGGCATAAATCAAATTTTCACGGTTAACTCTGAATTTTAGAAAAACGCAAAAGTTTAAATTTCTTCGGGGCTTTACTACAACTACAAAATTAAAGATTGAGATTTTTACTTCAAATGAAATTTGTTGTCCATAATTAGTTCTTTTATTAAGGTGATGAGTATTTTTTAAACTTTCGGTAGTTTTAGCGCAATATTAAAGAATTTAAAAAATAAGATTTTCTCAAAACACGGCTCCAAATTTTTTTCTTTAAAGTTTTGGTTAGGATAGTGCAACATGTACACTATGAGATAATATAAATGCCATTTTGGTCTCTTTAAAAAAAATTACAAAATATAATTTTTGTATATTTAACGTATGTATATGTAATGTATGTATATGTATTATAAATGTAACTAGCCTCTTACATCGTTAATATTTACATTAGCGGTGATTTGTTCACATTATTACGTTTACGAATACGCGTGCTTTAAATAATGTCTGATAAAGTTTCTTGAAAACTCAATAGTTTTCTGTGAAAACGAGCTCAAAATTCCGCATTTTCAGAATCTATCAAATGACATTTTTTCAAAAACGGCTCCAATTTTTTTCAAAATATTAATACGGATAGTGTATATTGTGTTGTTTAGGGTGACATAAAATTAATTCAGCTGTATTCTTTTGTGTATTAAAAAATTACACAAATGTATTTTTTTAAATATCTCTCACGCCTTTAATATGCACATTTCCAGCTATTTGTATTCATTATTGATTATTGTATTTGTGAGAGAAAGTTCTTCGAATGGTTTCCAATTAAGTTTTTCGAAAACAAAAGATGACTGTGAAAAAGAGCGTCAAATTTCGCGTTTACACTGAACCTTAAACGAGTTTTTCTTAATAACGGTTCCAAAGTTTTCAACGAAAATTTCCATATAATGGATATTTCCACATATTGGACGAGGTTTTACTCTTCTTTAATATTTTGAAAGTAATGTTTTGAATTAATTTTAGGAAACTAAAAAATCGAAAAAATTAGAAAGGATTTAGAGGGGCGATAAATGTCAAGGGGATGAGGGCAAGACCGTAAAGCTAGCTCACACCAAAGAAATTAGAAAATTTTACTACGAGAATGTCTGTGCCTTTTACTTTATATACAAGAAGTTTAAAGAAAAAAAATGGAGCCATTGTTGAGAAAGGTTTGAAAATGTACCATGAGATTCATGTGTAGTACCTCCAAAATTTAATTAAAGGCTTTTTCAAAAATGCATAGCTCTGAGTCGGACCAGTTCGATTGGGGAATATTTAGTTTGGAAAAAGTCCTGTGAATAGTTTAGGCGCAGACGAACGGAGAAGTAAAGAAAGGACCTGGTCCAAAGGTGCCTACCGGGCGACCTGAGTAATGAGTACCACGGGACTGTCCGGGCCTGCGCCAGTAAAGAAATTCATTATTGCAAGGTACGCATAATCACGAACAAAAGTGAATGAAGAAAAAAATTTGAATTGTCTGCCCCTTCTGTATTGAATTTTTCTCGATTAAAGCCCCGCGAGGGCCACGACATATATTTTCAAAAAGTTCGACGTTCGTCAAAATCCTCTTACCCACACAGCAAAATTTTAATTTGAAGTGATGGAGACTATTGAGCAGGATGAATTGCGAAACAATGAAGTGTGACTGAGTAGAGAATAAGTGTGTCCATCATCAAGGACGAAGATAAGAAATGCTTATTCGTTCGAAGGAATTTTTTCTTGGGAATATCAATCTTATGTCGATTTTGAATTAATTGAATTCGCACAATGATTGAAAACGACATTGTGTTCCCAAGCACAAAGATTTAGCTTTCATTGCTTGTCACAAAGCAGTTTTGGCAATCAAAATATGGTAAGATTGTTCTTGAGCAATATAGCGTTAGTTGGTAGCAATGTTGGATATCAGCTGGCTTGCAAATGTTAATTCACTTGAACCATTGTGTGCGTGAAGTGTGTGTCGCTCGCAGTGAATATTAGCTGCCAGCTTACTATCGTACATCGTCAGGGGAGGTGATAGCGAATAGTGACGTGTGGATATAATTTAAGTGTTTTGATGTAGCGGGGGCACTAGTCTTTCGTTCGTCACTGTTTACACTCTTTCTTGTGGTCAAGACAGTAAATCAGATTGAAGGTCTACTTACTGTGAGTATTCTGTTGAGTGGCGTGTCATTAATTTTAATTTATTGTTCTCAATTGATATCTCATATTTTATTAATAAATTAGCGTTCATTTAACTACGTAAGTTCTGAAATTTGGACGGTGTTTTAAAAACATAGGCTTTGATACTATGTTCTTCCCATTTTAACTCAGAAGTTTTTTGTTTCAGGTCTGTCACAATGAAAGTCTTAGTTTTTGTAGTTGCCCTTTTTGCTGTAGCAGCGGGCGAATTTTGTTATAGTTCTACGAAATTATCATGTGAACAAGATACTACAAAAGGTATAGAATAATAATCATTATACTATGTAAGTTGACTATCAAATGATGATATGCAAATTTTCATTGAATAGTTCCTGCGAAATAAAAACATATTGTTCTGAGAATTGAAGTTCCCAGAAGAGCTTGTTTTAGCATAAACAAGGATTCAATGACTATATGGAACTCGACGCATTAAACTTGCACTAAGTTTTATCATGTTCTGTACATCAGCTTTAACGTAAAGTGCAGAAGTTTAATATTTTTTACTTAAATGATTATAGAGGATTTTCATTGACATATTTTTGTTTTGTTTCTTATATTTTTTCACCTGCTTAATTTCTTGACTTCAATAATTAATTTGAAAGAACTTCCTTCAGTTTAGGTAATTTAAATACTGTCTATTTTGATTTTTATTAAGCTTTTTGACTTCTATTAAGCCTTCATCTGGGCTATAACAAAAATAAATTTTTATTAGTTCATAAGTACTTAGTTAATAACAAATTCACTGATGTAGTCCTGATAAAGGCATAATAAAAGCCGAAATGTTGGCAATTTAAATCTTTTTTTTTTTTTATGGCCTAAACCCAAGGAGGTTCATTGCAATTATATTTTTCGCCTTCCTGGTATAGTTTACTAATTTGTCATTTCTTAATAAACACGTTTTTCTTGGAAATTAAAATGATAGGACAGAAGGAAACAATGATTGTTATGTAAGAATTTCCTTCTCAAAGTGTTAAACAATTGTATTGAAAATGTATTTTATGCATTTTGTTGTGATGTCCAGGTGTAAACTGCACAGCTGCGTATGGTTTGGCTCACAATTACATTCGAGACTTGCAAATATATGCTAATATGCATATAACCAGAAATTTCCAGTACTTATTAATGGTATGTTTGAATAACAAAATAGTACTCTAAAATCACTATTTGGACTAAAAAAATGCTTGAATTGTTGTTTTTTTTTGTTTTTTTTTGTTGCAGTCAAGTCATTTTGGCAATTATAGAAAGGAGAGAGAAGGGTTTAAAAAACTGTACAGAAAATTATCTGATACTGCTTGGCAAGATGCAATTGATTTAATAAAATATATAGCTATGCGAGGAGGGAAAATGGATTTTCATTATGATGAAGATGGATCTGATGTAACAGTAAGTTTTAAATAATACATGTATTATTTCTTGAATCCATGTAATTTGTAAATTTTTAAATTGTGTAATGTAAAGTAATTTTTTTAATGGTAGCAAGGGAATGGGTGAGGGTGCTTCTTTGATCTTTAACATTTTATTTTAAATTTTACTGGCTCAGTTATTCATAGGAGTTGATTGTGATGTTAACTTCTTTGATTTTACAATCTTGTATTTTTGTTCAACTTTTTGAGGCATGAAATTATGGATATATTTTGTATATAGTATGCATTTTGAGCTCCTATAAAGTTCAAACAATATTCATATGTGTGTATTCTAGTATAAGGTCAATTTTCTAGGTGCGCTTAAGTACCCAATTAGGCAAAACATTATCAATATATACTTTTGTTACTTCCTGTGGAAATACTTTTATTTGCATTTAATGCATTGAAAGAACATATAAATCTAATGTGTCCAATTGAATGAAAAGGTAGAAGTTTCCCCCCATGCTGTTGAACATGGCTTAGAAGGTTCAAGGAGAGAGGGCCGCATTCTTTCTGCTTTAATGGCACATGAAGGAGATGATGTGGTGAGCTTTATGTCCCAGCCATTTACCTCCCTTTGAAGTGCTACCACTGTTGTGTGCTTAACAAGCATGAGAAATAGTAATGTATTTTGCTACTACTTTGATCGGATTCCTCCAGGTGCACATTTCATGTAAATGTTTTAGTCTGGTGGAATGTAATAAAAACAAACCAACTTTTGTGTGTTTTGTGAAACAGTTGTATTACAATTGTTATATTATCTGTGTTGATGTGCAATCCTGTATTGCGTAGGACACAATCTTGTATTTTAACATTTTTTTTGTTTTTGTTGCTCAGAGATCAACAATAGCTATGAGTGAATTGGAAAGTTTAGGTAAATCTTTGGACATTCAAAAGAAGCTGGCTTTAAAAGCACATGAAATATACAAAGCTTCTCACAGGCATGACCCTGAGGTAAAATTTTATTTTTTCCATCTGAGTGTGTAGGTTTCAGGTTTATTCAATATTAATAATATAATGTGGTATTTTTCAGATCAGTGACTATGTGGAGGACAAATTCATGCATAAGCATGCTAAGACTATTCGAAACCTTGCAGGGTATACTCGTGACTTGTCTAGGCTGTTGGAAGGGGAAAAGGATACATCAGCTGTTGGGTTGAAACTGTTTATTCTTGATTCATATTTGGAGAAAGTTGTGTAAATTTTTTCTTGATGCTCCTAATTTCTAAATGTTAAAATTATGTCCACTCTTATAATTTGAATTGTAGATTCAAAAAATTGTCTTGTGTTAATACCATCAATTTTACTATTAGGCATTTGCCAAAAATTGTCTAAAAATGTTTGTTTTTTAACTGTTGTAATGTATATTATCCTTGCGTAGGTGCAAGTTTTTGTGAAATTAGTGACGTACAAAATTAATTTTTACATCAAAATGAAGTTTGGAATAAATTTAATATTAAAATTTTGAAGTTTTAGATTTCAGTTTTGTCTTCATTAGTTTTCAAATGATTCGATATGATGAGACTGTTCATCTTTCTGAATGAAACCTTAACTGTTAATTTTTATACAAGCCTTGTTGGCAGTTGTAAATCTGTAATCTATATTAGTTAAATAAAATCATGTTTTAAAGATACACAATGCCCTAAATCATTAAGTATGTGTGTTTTTAACCCTTCAATGCCCAGAGCTTGGATTTGCGACTTTACTCTTAGTGGGCCTCAGAGGCCTGGTCTGAATAAAACACTAATTTGGGGCTGGGATGAAGAAGTAAATAATGCAATGATTTTTATTATTAAATAAATTTGTATTTGAAACTTTCAACACATATGGAATTTTACATATTTCATTTGCAACTGTAACATATAACTCCTTTTTTGATGTTTTGGTAGAAGTTTGTTTTCGCCCATAAAGCACCCCAATTTATTTTTTATTTATTATTTTTTCTTTTCTTTTCCAAATATTCAATAAATAGCACTTGGAAAGAAGGTAACAACATCAATAGAAATAATTTGTACAATTTTACCAGAATATTAACATTTGTAAATATTCCCCTTGCCTCTTTATTTTCTTTGGAAATGATCTATAGAACTTCCAAACTTTTGCCCCGGAGAATCCAGATGACTTGAAGAGCATTTAAGGTTTGTTTGAAGTTTTAAGGGTTTCTCGTTAATCTTTTCAGATTAGCACAGGAAAGTTCTTCTGCCAGTTGCATATACTCTTTTCCCAATGGCAATAGTCTTGAATAATTTTAGTGAAGATTACGTATGCATTCGAAGCAGCAATGTTAATCTTGTCATAAAATAACCTCATTTGTCATTGATGAGTATGCCTTCAAGATGTGAAATTGGTGATCCATCTCACAGTTCAGATGGCATTTTCTGCGGGTTAGTTTATAGTGAAATTCACCTTGGAATATGGACAAAAAATTATCAGGAACTCTTAAACTGTTATCAGTTGTGAAGTTATAACCGCCAGTAAATGATGATTGTACCAAATACTTAACTATTTTCGTTACAAAATCTTTTGTAACATGATCATCTTTTCTTTTGCTATTATATATTTTACCATTTAGTGTAAATACATTCGTAGAAACCCAGTACTAAAAACTGTTTATTCCATATTTATGTGTTCATGATTTGTGTTTCTTGTCAAGTAAATAATAAAGTCTGGAATGAAAAGGAATAAATTCCGACAACATAAATGTGTTTCACATGGGTTAAAAGATCCATCGAGGAAAAACCAACTACTGAGCCTGGGAGGCCCACATAGTGGACATCACAACTACGTACAGAAAATATTGAAAATATGAAAAATGTTCGTGGCTTATTGGACCACTCTTTGCTATAAGAAAAGAAACATAACAGAAGGTATCATGAGAGGACACTCCTGTCATGTTAATAGAAAAATATTTACACCATTAAGAAATACAGCTGGGTCTCTGAGGCCCACTAATTGCACTGAAGGGTTAATATTATTGATACAATAACATTGGATACATGTGGTTGTTCCTGAGATTTGTGTTAATTCAGATAAAACTGATAGATTTGATTCGGAAACAATTCTGTTGCTGAATATTACTTGGAATCCATTTTTACTGGTCTAGTATGAGTTCAATTGTCTCAAAATAATTTCATACTTTGTTTATAAAGTGTTTTGTAAATCAGTGTTGTTCATCAGTGTTTTGATTGATCAAAACCATAAAATAATAGTGATGATGAAGATAAAGATAATAGTACATGGTTCACAAATGGCAGAGGTTTTTGTTTTATGCTGTCAGTCATTTTTGGCTTCTGTGGACATTTACTGTTTTGTAAATTTCTATGTGCTTGTTAAACTACAATGCATTGGATTCAATAAACTCTGGCGTATAAATGAAGTGATATTTATCTACATAATGTTTTTATTCGGTCAATATTTGGAACCAAAATTATTGAATGCATGTGAACAAATTTTGATTTTCATAGAATAGATCTTAAAAATCATAGCCTTAATTTTTTTTGTGCTTTTATGCAAAAGTGTAGTTTGTGGAAAATATCAATGGTAACTGACGTACCAAATGAAAATTACACCTATTTAATAATTTGGATTATGTTGAAAATTTAAAGTGCCCAAATGTTTTAGGAAAGTTATCAAGAGATCTATGGAAAAAATCAGACGGTCACGTATCCATGAAAGCATGGTATCTCAAGTTGCTTAAGTTCCATGACTTAATGGAGCATAGTAAAGCAATTCTGCTAATAACACCAATTGAAATTACTTTGGAATTTTAAGATTAAATCTTCCATTAAAATTGGAAAATCGAAATTCGTGATTTAAGATCAAACCGGAGAACTCATAAAATGAATGTCTATTTAAATCACCAGATAAATGATGCTAAATTGATGAGACATGATTGTTGATGCTAAATTATCGAAAATGTTATAAGATAATTACCAAATGTGGAAGTTATGAAAAGCGCTTTGAAACTACTATGTAAAATATAGATTTCATTGTGTGCCAGGGAATTGTCAAGAATGTTTGGACCAACATGCCTTGGTTGGTATGTTTGAAGGGTCTAAAGAAGTCATTATGTTAGCAACATAGCTTACAAGCAATGGGTTATACGAGACTGATATGATGTCATTTGTATATCCATGGGAAGATTTTTTTTGAAATATTGATTGATAAAATATTTATTTAGATCTAGTTGGAGCACCTGGATATTCATACAGCACCCAGAATACTTCTTGGGTTCAGAAGCAACTTTAAAACATTTTGAAAGATTATGTACATTACAATGTTACATATAAATTTACATTATGATCTGCTTAATCTGAAGAAAAAAAAAATTCTCTGATGGGATTTCAAACAAATACAAAAGCTAAAATAATTTTATCTAGACAAGCTATTATAATCTTGATTTTGGACAACTTATTGAATGGCCTCGTCATTACAAAAATTCTTGCGATTGTGTAAGGACACCAAACTGCCCATAACAAAGGCTACTTTATAGCAATCATATCTTGACTCTCCGTAATATGCTTAAATTCTGGTAAGAAAATAAATTACATAGTCTGAAACTGAGGAGATTAAAAAATTTCTCCTAATAATTTAGAAGAAAGATGCTAATCAGAAAGGTGCTAAAGTCTTTCGTGGTTTTATGCTACCAAGAGAATGCACAAATCATTAGCATCTGAAAGAGAACTTAAAAGTCCAAAACTGCACCATTGGCACTACAGACTTCAAATTCATTCTGTTTTTGATTTTGTAATGTACTGTTTTTGAATTTAATTTTCTAGTGTTAATTAAAATTATCAGTTCTGACTTCAAAATAACCTTATATTCATTTACAAATAAGTTTGAATTGTAATAAAGTAATGTTCAAAATTATATATTAGGCAGATTTTTGTATTTAATTGTTATAAAATATTAATAATTATTTTAATGCAAAGTAGTTCAAACTGGCTTGTAAATAATGTTTATTCTTTGTCACCACTACTCAATGTGGAAACGAATTTTTCATGTAAATATACAGTTTTTTAAAACCTCTTTCGTGTTGAAACTGAAAATTGAAGTTTTTACTGATGTTGTGTTGCATTGCATTTGTGTTCACCTTTTAAATTTTGTCTGGTTACACAACAGGGATATTACGACTTGAACACTTGCAGAAAATCTAATTTCCAATTTTGAGACGGTGTAATTTTCAAGTAGTATGCTACTTACCATTGATATATTTCATGAAGTAACTACACTATTATGTGTAGACGCACAGAAAAATTAAGACTTGATCTGGAGATTTAGATGTTTATGAAATAACATTTAATTTCAAATTAACAATTACAAAGAAATATTATTTTAATAATATATTGGGGGAGGATGTAAGTGTGTCTTGATTTAAATTAGTCCCCTTCTGAAATCTGTTATGGATCTGTAGTTAGCACTTGCGGACTTCTTGGATCTGGGATCAACAGAATGGAATTCACAACCCTTTGGACCGGAAGAAATTGCACCACACTCTTACCACCTCCGTCATGCATACATTTTCCCTGTAAAATAACTATATTGCTTTCCACAAAATGATAGACAATATTTTGTTATTTAAGTTAACAATATGTAAGTTATTTAAAAATAATTTAATATCAACACAAAGTTTGTATTTCCATTGAGCTCTAAAATATAAATGCACTTTTTGAGGCTGAATTTTGAGCAAATATATTTATTTTTGTCCGTGGGTGACTGTTAACATTGGTGAAAGAAATTTCATGTAGGTGTGAAGGTCTTACTGAACCATATTTTGTGTAGTATAATGGATATAGCTTGAAAACTATATGAAGCACCCATAAAAAATTAAAACTATTATTCAGTTTTTATTTAATTTTAACTTTGTAATAAATTTTAATCAATCATTATAATCCATAACTTAATTCCTTACTGTTTGACAAATAAATTTCATAATGTTGCCAGTAAACTGTTGGATTGCCAACATCCTCTAAAGGCTGAAAAACAAGATTTGCAATCCCTTTTCAAGTCTGCTATCTTTTTAATTTACTAACTTGGTATTCACAATATATTACTTTGAGATGAGTCTTGTATCACTGTAATGTAACGGTACGAGCTGCCGCAAATTCAATATCGGGCGTCCATCAATAAAATCGCGGCCATCAAGCGCGGTCACAGCAGCTGTTAGGAGGGCGGTACCTGACCCCGCGCCCCTTCCCTGCTAATATAGCAGACAAGGGTCATGTATGGCCCACCGCTGTCACTTCGCCGGCCGCGGAAGGACCACAGTCGGCCCCGCCGAGCACTCGAGAGGGTGACCCCCCCCCACCAACCGACCGCATGTCAGAGACCCCCACCCAATTTTCAAACCAATCAATTACACCCACTTGGGGAGATAGATATACAACACAACGAACTTCGGCGCGCGCGTGCAGCTTCGCATTTGGGATCACACCGACTTTTTTCGCCGCCCGCGAGAGTAAGCTTGCTCGCGGCAGCAAACGACAAATATTTGGCTGTTAGGAAGGATCCCGCGTCATTGGTCGAAGCTCCGCCCCTCCATGCTCCGCGAAATTCAAACTCGCACAATCGGGAGGATTTTCACTGGAGAAGAGGGGAATACCGAGCCTTCATGATTCGGGAGAGCAGCTCTCACAGGAACTTGCTTTAGGGCGGCTTCCCACGGCGCGGCCGCCGCGCGCTTCCTTCAAGGAGCAGAGCTCTTCCGACGCAGCCACCGCCGGAGCCACGGCCGCACCGCCGCCCGCCGTGGAAAGGGGTGGGGGTCTGGAGGGGTAGGTTTCGCCGACCCTCCGGCGACAACGAACAAAGGGACCGGAGCAGGTAGAACGCTGTGGCCGCGGCGCAGTGGGAAGGCTCCAATTTAAAGCTGTGTTCTGCTAGAGGTGGCGCGTGGCCCCTCATCGGCTTCGCGTAGCTGGAGTTCGGCGTCGGCTGCCTCAGCAGCCGCCACTCGCTGCACGTGAGAAGGCCTCCATTGAAACCAATGCTCTGCTACGCGCCGCGCTGCTGCGACGTGCGCTGCGGCCGAGCCGTGGGAAAGGGTCCTTAGAAATCTTGCAGAGGGAAGTCGAGCCCTCAGAAATTACTTTAGAAATCTTGCAGAGGGAAGTCAGCCCTCAATAATTCATCTTAGAAATCTCTCGAAGAGAGTTTTGGCTCTGAATCACATGAGATTCTCGAGAAAGAAGACATAGTTCCCAGGGACGGGAAGTATTCTCGCTGGCCGTGAACTGCATTACCCAGTTATCGGTGCACAGTAGCACCTGTCACGTGTCATAGACCGGCTTATCCCGCCTACGATAGTCGATCGTCCGCGATTACCTGATCCGGGAGTCTGATCCGTCATCGCCGACGCGAGCCGTGGGGATCTGTAGGCCAGTGTCGTCATCCATGGGTCCGGCCTAAGGGAGAGGAAGACGAGGACGGCCACGCTGAAATGCTTCGGTGAAACCTGCAGCTGTCCGGGGGCGACCCGCCCTTGACGCCGGTCAACAACCCCACCAGCTGGGCGACTATCCTGCCACACCAACAACAACTACAAAGGGCAAATTCGCTTCGCTCCCGCGAGAATGCGGAAGAACTGTTCCTGAACGAAGCTGGAGAGAAGATGCCATCAGCATTAATATTCATGGCGGCCTATTAATTGAATTAGTTTTTATATCGAGTCAACCAGTCAAGCCAATTTGAAATAAAGAAAAAGATCGCACATGTTATACTTGTAAAATGTCATGTAAAATCACTCATGCTCATCATTCTAGATATTAAATGTTTATTTTGTTAAAGTTAAATGACTGTGTTATTGAACACCTCATCCCAGCTCCAGAAGCCACATGTCTGTAAGAGGGGTGTGTTATAGCAATGAGTGAGTCTTTTTGTAACACTGCAAATTACTTTTTACTCTTTCTTTGATGTTCAGTTGAAAGCTACTTATCATTTTCAACAGTTTCTTTATTTGACATTAGCAAAAGTATCACATACCTATTCCCACGCCATTTACAATTTCTCAAAACTCAAGAGTATATTATAGCTCATTTTTCACAAGATAAATTATGAACAGGACCTGTCAACAGGATTTTGTCTTTCTCAAGTCCATTATCTACAGCAGTTGCAGCTAGGTGTGTGATTTGTTCCTGTTTCTCTGTAGACCTAATGAAACTTCACTCTTTCAAAAAAGTACTCTTGTAGAAGGCATTACACTAGAAAATAAATTTCCTAGTGAAATTAAAAGCTTAAACACGATACACACATTCAAAAATAAACTGAAAGCTCTCCTGTTAAAGCATACATTCTACAGTACAAAAGAATATATGCATCATAAGCACGTATCTACATCAATATAAACTAATAATCTTTGCATTTTCTGTTGCATGTTTTCAAACCCCCCTAAACTGGTTGGGTGTAAAAGACGGACCCAGCCT